CATATGAAGAGCAAACAACATATCTACTATTAGCGATAGATGTCGTGATAGTGTGATTTAAAATCAATGTTATGAATGTAAAGTGGATTCCAGACTTTGAAATGCTGGTATACATACTGCTGCGCATGTCCTTTGGATTAACTATACGACAAAAAACCTGTAAATGATGCCTTTATGCACTTGAATGGTTATTCAGGGAAAAAACGGTAAAGATAATATTTAAAGCTGCTGTCAATCCAATAAGAGTCTTAAATGAGAAAATGTATTGAATTTAGCTTCAAAATCTTTTTAGTCGTGATAATTATATAAATCTGAGGAACTGAATAGTTCTTTTGAACTTCTTAAACTAGGTACTTATATTTATCTAAAAAATGCATTTTTATAAAATACTTATTTACTGAAATCTACATTGTCTCAAATAAAATTAACCTACTTTAAAATTTCGAACTTGGTGTATTTAATAGATAGAGACAAAACACTATTTTGTGCGCAAATGTTTTTTTTTTTCTATTAAGAGTTTTATTTTGCAATTGAAAAGAAAGGAAAAAAATTTTTTTTTGACAGTATTTGAGTTACTTTGACTTTTGATAACATTTTATTTAGAAATGTAATCTTGACATTTGTATATCATCATACAAAATAAGTTGACTAAAGGTGAGAAGTAGACATGTAACAGTTACGGTTAACTGTAACTACTCATAACTGTTAGTATTATAACTGTGAGCAGTTAACTCGCAATCGTAACTGTATATAACTGTGAAAAAATTGAAAACTAAGGGTTTTCTCAGACTATTTAACTAAAAGTTAAATTTTCTGTTAAACCAAAGTCTCTCGCTATCAAAAGCATTTTATATGGATCTTTGATAGTTTCATTACTTTTATCGTAGTAGAAAATATAGATGTCTTTGAAGTATACTGTTAAAAACCTTTGTTCTTCTGTTGTTTGGAGAATATGCTGAAAAAACTTAAATGTGTTTTCTGGGAAATGAGAACCCTGGACTCGACTAACTAATACATCAATGTTTAGTTTAGAAAAGCTTCTTAGAAGTCAAAAATGGTGTATTAGAATCAGAATTTAGTGTTCTGTTGTGAGATATCTTCAAAGGTTTTGTGTGACTTTCAGTTGCAGAGTTATGAGCAGATCTTTAAAAATTCCAAAAAATTTTCCTTGCATAGACCAAATCAATATTTTCTACGATCGATCCTGCTTTTCTAAAGTGCCATATAAAGCCTGTAAACATAAAACTGTAATCTGGTCTTGACTCTAAAGAGTTAAAATGGCACAAGAATGAACCTACTAGGTTTAATCGTTCAAACATGGCAGGATTATCCCCAAAAGTTATCTTGCACTGAACTCAAAAAGATTGTTAAAATAACCATTCTTGTTGGCAGAGTTCTTAGAATATGCTCAGTGATCCTCAACAGATTGTAAGAAAATTAAGTTGAATAGACCGTTTTGTAGAGAAATGTTTGTCTCATCTTCCAGTGTATTTAGATAATTTAAATAATAAGTCTAGAACGAATTATTCAAAATTTTTGTTTGTCCAAGCTGAATTTTCGGGATGTTCAAAGATCCGCTCATACTCCGCAACTCAAAGTCATACAAAACCTTTGAAAAAAAATCCTGAAAGAGAACAAAGCTGTAACGTACTACTTTTGATTCCCAAAAAGCTTTTTTTACGGACGAAAATGATGGAACGTTTTGTCCAAAAGTGCTTTTGTCAGCCTTTACAATCAATTAATTGTCAATTTGCATATTGAGGACAAAACTGGTAAATAACCTTGTCTTGTTTGATGTAAAAATACATTTTTATTCATAGGTGCATTGTACCCAAGTTATAAAAATGTCAAATGTTTAAAATTTTATCTTAGCAGTAGTCGATTAAATAATAGTCGTTAGTATTTGAAAATGTAAATATAATTATTTGTTCATATTTACGATGGGTACAACGATTATTTGAACACAATGTTTCTCATATGTTAACAAATGTTTCTATTTTAAAAATTGATGAGGTGATTATACATCGAGTTGTTGAGGAACAAACAATTATTTACTGGCACCAACAACACTTACTGTTTTAAGCATATTACTGAACTACATTTGAATAACTTAACCTTAATGATAAGAATGAGGAAAATGATTATATACTTTTATTTCTTCATTATTCTTCTAATATTAAAATATCAACGTTACAATTTGTCAATAAAAAAATCCATATTGAAATTATTCAGAGTATTCTCGAATTATCAATATCAAATAAAAGACGTTTGTTATCATTTATTCAATTTTATTTATTAAATAATAACTTTGTGATTACTGACAATATTGTAGAGATGTTTAAACGGCTACCCATGATGTTTTTTCGTTGAGTCGTCGGTACTACCTGAATATTTATGTCCTGATAATTGTTATGTTCATATTGAGCGTTATTATCTGAAATTTTGACGTTAATTAAATCATTAAAAATATCAAACATTGAAACATGCATCATCTATTTTGTTATAAAAGTGTTTGATGATTTTTTTCTGTAATGGACGTACAAACAGCAAATGGTTTCACAATGCTTCGATCAACCCCTCAGCATCGATTGAAACTTTGGAAGAAATGAAGACAAATGTAATTTATTTCGAAGTATATATTGCAGTTTGATTTTAGCATTCATGATTCACAACTGTTGTTAATTAACGAATTAAGTTATTAATTAACTAAGTTTGATCTGTTGTTATGGTCTGATGAAAATAGTTTTAAAAAATTTTTTTTAAGACACTAATTTATAATTAATCAATGTTAGTGAATACTAATTAATATCACTCTAGTGCCTTACACTTTTATTTGCAAATTAACGGTTTATTGGAAACGGTAAATTAGCAATACGTCATTCAAGAGAGATTTCCAGGTGCTACAAACCCCTGTATTTGCTTTTTCAAAATCTTACCGATAAACAGTTATTTGTACTCGGTTTTAGGTAAATGGCGTTTCTACTATGGATTTCTGTATAGAGCTGCCATGGATGTTTTTTGAATAACTTGAGAACAAAAAGAAAGAGAGAGTTTGGATTTTCCGCATTTTGTAGAGAAGGCTTTACCCTTAGAGAAGGCTCGAGTCATCCGTAATTCGCTACCATTTCGTCGGGTAAATGCCTGCCATTCGAGAACCACAACAGATGGAGAGATTGGCCTTGCGCAGAATTGTAGAGACCATTTTGAAGTATCTAGCCGCTATGTTACAATTAAAACTTATTGATTATAAGAATAATTGCTGGGGGTTCCAGACGCCCTTGTTGCAAGGCTACGCGCCCCAAAATCTTGCCACGGATTTTGATGACACAAAGCATAGCTCACAAAATCTGTTGGAACAAAAATTGTTCCCTATGAAATTCTATGTGGAATAAGCGGAACAGTTTTTCTTTTCTAACAGTAAAAACTTCAAAAACTTATTAATTAAAACATTTTAATATTAAAAATTGTTTAATTTTTATTTAATTTCTGTTCGAAATTCTGTTTTGAAATTCTCTTCCGTTTATTCCACGCGAAATCAGTCAGCTACAACTTCGCTAGCAAAATACAGAACAGCAACAACTGCATTATTCAAACAACATTTCAAGGGCAGTTCCACTCTACAATCCTTAAAAATAAGTTCTATGGCTCTTTGTTTTGCCACATCAAATCAATGGAATTTCCAAAGGTACCAAACAGAAAAATTTCACTATTCTTTCCTGCAGTTCTAACGATCAATATTTTTCAGTTTTTTCATCCAAAAATGACGTTCAAAAATCTTAAATTGGCTTTTCCCTAGCTAAGTCGATGAGCTCTATCCAACCATATCAAAAAATAGGCCATGTCAAATGTTCTTACAAGTCTTGGGGGCAAATAAATTGAATAATACTTCAATTTCGAGTTTATTCTGATAGCTTTTTAACGCTTCGTCGAACTCTCCCTTATTAAGATAAATTGTTGCCATATTATGATATGTGATATGTGTTGCAAATAAAAGTGTAAGGCACTAGAGTGATATTAATTAGTATTCACTAACATTGATTAATTATAAATTAGTGTCTTAAAAAAAATTTTTTAAAACTATTTTCATCAGACCATAACAACAGATCAAACTTAGTTAATTAATAACTCTGTGAATAATTATCAGTTCATCGAAAACACTGAAGGATATATGTAATCAGGTGTCGTCTTCAAACTGACATAGTTTGAGGACACATATAGGAAGGGGTGGAGCCCCTCTTCATATACCATCTACACACAATAGTTGTGAATCATGAATGCTAAAATCAAACTACAATATATACTTCGAAATAAATTACATTTGTCTTCATTTCTTCCAAAGTTTCAATCGATGCTGAGGGGTTGATCGACGCATTGTGAAACCAATCCATTTGCTGTTTGTACGTCCATTATATCTAATTCCATCGGTTATAAATGGGCTACAAATATTGATCGTAACACTATTATTTAGTGGCATGGAGATTTTTACGTCGTGCCATCATCTAACGCTCAAATAACACCATCGGCTTGGTTAGACATTTATTGTTCTCGTCAGTGGCTTACATTCAATGATTTTTTGATGTGGCAACAATCCTGTTGGCTAGTTGTACCATTACAATCATATAGTTGTCCCGTTAGCATACAAGTATATTCGTGTAAAGATTCTGTTGGATTAGCAATTTTATGTAACTTGTATTATCCATAAAACACATATTCAACCATTAGGCAAACGAAAAGCAAAAAGGCGTCCCAGGAAAGTTAGTACAGCTTTGTGTGGAAGTTTGAAGAAAAGTTTGGGCATCCCAAAATTCTATGCTCTTTGAATAAAACCAGAAAATGGCTCGTCAGTAAAATGTGATCTCTTAAAAGGAACCAAGTCCTTAACAAACGTATTTAAGATATTTTTGCATTTTAGGCCAAAAACCTGAAAAGGATTTACGCCTTACTATAAGAAGTCTAGAACATGAATATATTTTCTGTCATATTTATTATATGAAAAAAATTTAAACGAGGGTACCGTTTTGCCGGGCGTAAATTAGTAAGTATGCCTCTTTAGTAATAACACTTTTTTCATCAATTTTTGTAACCGATTCATCATCAAATTGATACCAACATTTATCTATCGAATTCAATGCATTTGTTGTATAATGGCCCGATTGTATTGTTCCTGTATGATTTGATACTGCTATTAAATTATATTTTTGCTCTACATCAGTGGCAACATAATTCCTTAAATCAAGACTGGAAATAGGACAATCTACGAATGTATCGTTTTTTTTCTGCTGTAAATTAGAATCGAAATAGAAACGTTTTAGTTGTAGTATAAGTATATCCGGTAACGTGTTTAGATTAATTTTCATCGTTGAATTGGTTATCATAGCACAAGCCTGACAGTGGTAATTCTGCCCGTGCTCATCTAACGTTTCTAAGGTAAGATATTCTTTGATACAGTCTTTTAATGTCAATGGCCCAATACGACGAGTCAAGACAGGCCCTTCGGCATCATAAATCTGTGGGGAACGAGGTACTTTCTTCAAACGGATTTTGTGTCCCTGGATGTCGCTTAATTGTGACTTCGTCTCATATGTTTTATTGTGAAGATCTTGAGGCTGTATATTAGCCTCTGAAATTTTAGGACTGAAAATATTATTGTAAGTTTTAATAAATTCATTAATGAGATCACTAATTAATCCACTAGCTTGAGTTGAGATACATAATGTTTTGTTTTCTTCCTCTGCTGAGATATATTCGATAACAAAATATCGTTCTTGCTGTTCTAAAGGTAGAGTTATAAAGAGGAATTCTGTGATCGTCGAATTGCAGTTTTCACAGGTTAAACATTGAACAGTTGTTTCAATTTTTCCCTGAAATAAATCAGAGATGAAGGAAATATCGGTGCCATTCAAAGTTTTGGTTTTTAAATCATCATGCAATGCATGTAAAAGGTAGATCATGAATTCGTGGGTATCTTGTTGAGTTGGACCAAAAAATTGAGGTGCTAAGTTGATAATGATTTGCTTCAGCTCAGTAGGTTCGAATGGTTGGTGATCTCTGGACCATATTTTAGACATTAACGATACATAAGCTGATACAACTTGACTATTTGTATTTGTGCTTAATGTACTATTACTGTTTTGAAGAAGAAAATAAGATGTTAATTGAGGAATATTACTTAGGCATTGGAGAGCACTGTTCATATAGCAGGAGTTACCCATGTTAACTAAACCACAAAGACCGGCAATTTGGATATTTTTCGATTGTGCGCGCAGTGGTATGACTTCCTTTGTAGATTTTGTTACTGTCTTTCTCAGTTCGTTAATTGAGCTACTTAACTTTTGGGAAGGTAATAAGGATTGATTTTTAGTCTTATGTACTATATTTATCGAAGGAGCGTCTGGATCAGCAAGCGTACATGATTTGTCCGCGGTAATTCCAGCTCGGTTCGATCGTAAAGTAGAGCGCGGTTTGTTATGAGTTCGATTACATAATAATATCGACGACCGATATGGCACGGAATTTGCCTGAGTTTCTAAACATGCTGGTATATTTAACCGATCGTTTGAGAATGGATTAGAGGGAACCTGGAACTTAGATGGATCAGAATTTCTGGTAGCAAAGCTAAGAAACGGAGAAGAAGAATAAGGCTTAGAGGCAGTTTGTACTTGCTCCAATGGGTTAGGAATGTGCGCTCGATAGTCATAACATGGACCATCAACGTTTTGATGAACATTTCTTTCCAATTTATTTGTCTGGTTATTTGAGTTCCGATCAGTAGGAATGTCATATTCAAGTGGATTAGGTTCCTTAGTATTGAAGTTTTTGTACGAAGACGATATATGCGAATCGTGTTTACAGACACTTTTCACTTGGTCTGAGGATCTAGGAATGCGCACTCTATCGTCGTTCGGTGGACGTCTGATGAATTGATGGTTATATTTGTTATTTGTTTCCGAAATAACATCATCTCGAAGATTAATATCTTGTTTCTGTTGTACCAGTTTCCATTCAAAGCCGTTGTCGTTTTCAATCATACTGTTCCTTTGAGCAACTGTTTGTAGTCGACGGTAAAAATTAGTTCTACATTGTTTGCAGATATATTTGACTAAATAAAACAGTTTCAGTTTTGTTTTAAAAGCTACGTTTGAAGTTGCAGAGACAAATACACTCCCACATCCTCCAAGAAATCCTTATGCCACAGCTAAATCATTGAAAGTAAAGGTGTCGCTTGCCTACCATTTTTAAAGGGGATACCTGGAGTCGGGGAAGCCGATTTGATTGGGATGAAATTTATATCAGAGATCGAACATCGAAAAAGAAAATCGATGTATTTCTGCTCAGAATATTCTGACATGTTCTTGTATGGGTTTTCTGAAAGTCTAGTTTTCATCCAGTCACATTACGCCCGCTCGAAAATATGGTCTGATCGAGCTGAAAATATTACCACAGATGCTTTAGATCCTATCTCGAGTTCGTTTTCGTCTTTTCGAAAAATATGCTTTCTTTTCAAGATATTCGAAAAATACTAAAAAGTCCTGTATAAAAAACCCTCTCACTGAATCGAAAGAGCTATGTTTGAGATTTCTAACGAGGGAACCTCTCGAGGTGATTAAAAGCTTTTCGACTCGAAGATATGAGTTAATTAATGAAAATGCCATTAATAATAATTAATTAATAGCTCACGACCATGATCAGCTAGGAGTCGGAAATTTTCACCGCAGTTGAAGATAGATGTTGTCTACTCACTGCGACACTTTTAGGCTTATAAACCAAAGCTTTTGCAAGATATGAATTTTTTATGATTTAGACAGTTTTT